TTCTGCTGGCAGTGGGTCATTTAATAATGCTTAAAGGGTAGCATTAAAAATACACAATTCCTTTTAAAAACCATGATTGGTGGATGTCTTTAAACCTGCAGGTGAAATTGCATACCTGTTGGATATAGTACAACAAAACTGGCATTTACTGGGGAAGGGGTCCCCATCAAAATTAATACTATGTCCTTATCTATAATAAGGGTCTGGTATAGATTTAGAGGGTGACACTAGGCAAAAAATACTAAAAAGTGGGGTTCACCCCAAATCCATATCAGACCCTTATCCAGGCACGCAGTCTGGTTGGCCAGAAAAGGGAGGGGCAGTGAGCGTGTGCCCCCCTCATTCTGAACCATACCAGGCCACATGCCATCGACATGTTGAGGAGAACTTGGTCGGGAGATGTCCCCTGGCAATACGCCATGCCCCCATGGAGACATATGCACACATCCCTGGCCTAGTGGGTGTGGGGGTCTGCTAAGGAGGAGGGGGGTTCTGATCTGTGAGCAGGGAATAGTTATTCAGTGGTGGTAGTAATACGACTACTAAATGAATGACTTCTGGCTTCAGCAGCTGGCAGTTCGGTGGGCTCTCTTACTCCATGGTAAGTGCTTCTGTGTGTATCAGTCTACAAGAGACCGATATGAAGACATATTCAGATACTTATGCCATCTGTATTTAAAAATACATTCCATTATTTTTTATGAATATATATGTGCAAATAGAATTGTATGTTTGCATAGATTAGAGCTAAAAACGACACCATTTTGTTAGTCATCCACATTTTTTAAATACGGACCATTTTACCTGTTACTCTGCATTACATATTGTATTTTCCATAATTGTCACTTCCTCTCAGTCCTGATGTAACCGACAAAGAATGTGGACTGGGTGTTATCAGTGCATTTTATGGTCCACCCTGTAAACTCATTCTTACAGGAAGATATAGGTGTTCCATGTGCGGCTCCCTTTTTGTTATTCAGAAATGCTACCTATGGTTTATAAAGTCACGTTTCTAGAACAACAAATCTAGATTTACAACTTTTGTAAACAGAGTGGTGCAATGTGAAAAGTTCATAACTGCAAAGAGAAAACATAAATAATTGTCATAATACATATAACCATAGAAGCGGCCTGGCTGTTTTCAGGTGCATTTGGTGGCATCTCATTGGGGGCTGACCAGACATCTGCAGCTGAGTGCAGTCTGCGAGATATTGGTCAAGCAGACCAAGGAGACCTTGATATTGGTTGCCCTTACGTTGGTGGTGTCTTTTCTCACCTTACTCCCCCAAATCTGCCCCACTCCCTAACATAAACACTTGGCATCCTAGTTTATCTTCATAGTGGTGTACTGCAGCTTCATATAGAATTGTGCTCTCATGTCTTACTTAGACCTCCTGGTGATTTACTGGAAATATGCATGAATACATTCCCTACATGCCACAGTATACAGCAACAGTATCATTTAAAAAATACTTTACCTTTTTTTCCCCCCCCCCATAAAGTGCAACTGAAGCCACAACTTAGTTTTGGATAGAGTAGAAAGGAATTAGAACCACTGTCAGGTTTTTATTGCTGTTGGTGTCCCCCTTAGAGAGATTCAGGCCCTCTATTTGTCCCGGTGACTGTTATCACTGAAAGTGAAAACAAATCCCAAATCTTGGTTTGTCATAAGAACAGGAAAAGAAGGGAAATGAGGACACTAGTTCTAGTGACCCTGCTGGCCACCAGGGATTTCGCCTCACTTCCTGTTGTGACTGTTGGGCAGGAAATTAAGGTAAATCTCCCCAACAGGACAAAAAAACTAAATACTGAAAGGGGTTCTGGCCCTCACTTACTCTATGAAAAAAATAAAGTTTTGGCTTCAGATCTACTTTAAAGGAGAACTATGAGGTGAGTGAAAATCACTCATCCTCATAGTTCGAGCCGACGTGCGACAATGAAACTGTCACACGTCGGCTCAACAGATCGGGAAGTGAGTGAATACATACTGTCACTCGCTCACTTCTCAATCATCTTCTGGCAGAGAGCCGTGACTGTCAGTCACGGCTCCCTGCAGGGATTGCCCCCCTCCCCGCTCCGATCCTCCAGCGCTGACTGGAGGAACGGACGGGGAAGGGGGTGGGCACAGCTGGCTCTGCCTCTAGATAGGCAGAGCGAGCTGTTATTCACACAGCTGGGTGGATCTCGAGTGCATTGTTGGGATCTTTTCCGGATGCGATGGTCTCAGTATACTGCGAGCTGTAGCTCGCTATATACTGAGCTTTGGGTCACGGTAGGACGCTAATATATGTCCTCCCGTGACCCTTAAGAGAACTATGGGGAAAAACACTTACCGCATAGTCCTCTTTTTAAAGAAGTCATCTTTAAGCTCCCTTGAAGTGACTGTGCATAGAGTTGCTTTTTGGAAGCATGATGACAAGTTTACTGCAAGTGGGAGACATCATTTGTTCAGTCTTCTGTCCCGCAGTTATCACTTGCTTGCACTATACAATACAACTATACAATTTCACAATCTACTTTAGATCTACCACCAGCTATATAGAGCAGGGGCCCGTCTGATTTGATTGATTTTTTTTTTTTTTTTAGGTTTGTCCTCATATATTCACAGTAAATCTAAAGAAGATTTAACATAGATTGTACAGTCAAATTGTATAATATGCAGATGTGAAATGTGTAAACACAGCCATTAACATAAAGATCATTGGTTGTGGGCCAGCATCCTGGTGAAGTACTGTGTATGCGACCGTGCATGATGGCTAAACAAAGGTGGTGCTGGTTTTCTAGGGAGCAAGCAAGATGACGGCATTGTCAGAAGTACTGTGATATCTCTGAGATTGGTGATCAGTAGCTGCAAGGGTTATTTATTACTTCATATGCATGCACTTAATATGAGACAATATCTCTTTGGGTGTGTCCTTCGGTTTCATTATTTGTTTTTACTAATGACTTAAAAGGAATGAACATTCACTAGGTGCTCTGTTGGACAATAGAAAGTGCTGTGTGGCACCTACTTTGCAATCTTCCCTTCATTGTTGTGTACACTGCCTTGTTAATTAAGCCTGTTCATACTTTCTACTCATGAAATGCAGTATAAAGCTGGCCATACACCTTACAACCATCACACGACTTTCATCGTGCGATGGTTGTAAGGTAATTAAAAGCTCGTACGATCTACCCATCTTGGACAGGCAGATCGTACTTGCGATCATCGCAAGCTCGCCCCGCTGATGGGAGGGCTTCCGATGACTGCAATGCTGAGCGGGCAGTGTGCGCTTGCGCACACCGGCCCCTGCGGCATTTGTCTTATGAGTACGCCACAAACCTGCCGAAAATCTAACGATTTTCGGCTGGTTTTCCAACGTGCTCGTAAGACAAAAGACGTGGGACCGTACAGTAGAAACGGTTGCACGCCTTCCATGCACCTGCCGATTATCGTACGATGGCTCCTGAGATGCGGCACTGATGGCCGTGAAAGATGTGCATAAAAGCACTGCGTAAATTGTCGGCTCTATATAAATACCTGTAATAAATAAATAGAGCGCAGCCTGGTCCACGTCTTTAGACGTGTGGGGCGGTGCCAGCACTTAATCAGGTTCTTCTGACAGCCCAGCAGTTTCTATGACAATCGCGGAGGACCACAAACTTCTTTGGGGAATATGGTACATGCTCTAATCAGGTATGCCCCATATGTGGCTTTTAACCATTTATACTCTTGTGTATGGTCATCAACAGTTTTAATAATCACCAGGATACAGGAATGTCAGTATTCTATACACAACTGGAAGGGATCTGATGTCATGATCAGGTCAGAAGGGGGTCGGTCAGTGGTTTTGATTAATTGTTTGATATTTCACGTGTATATATGTAGAACATTGTAACTTTATGGTTATCGATTTGTTTGCCTGATGAAGGAAACGAATCCGAAACATTGCTTCACATTGTGGTATGACCCTTTGAGGGCAAATTCACACCATGTCCAGATCATCACCAGACCAGATTGTTTCCGGACCCAAAATGCATCCTAATGTATCCCTATGCTATTTCTGTCCTCACACCAGTGTTCACACCAGCACATTCCGTTCCGGACCAGAAAAATACTGCTTGTCCTATTTTGTCTGGTCTGGAATGCACTGGAACGAATAAAAACACATTAGAAACGCATACAAACGCACTGGAACACACCTGTAAGACCATTTTAATTAAAAAAAATTTCCATCGTGGTAAAAACGCAATGCGCTGTGTTCTAGATCTGGTACAGAAAATGGTGTGAACCTGCCCTGAGTCAATAAAGGAGCATTTACTGAAGGAACTACTGACTTCTTTATCGTATTGATTGAGCAGCAGCATCCGCAGTCACTGCAGCACCCTACCCCCCCATGAGCTTTGGGGAACTTCGGTTAGGAGTGTGGTGGGACCCACGTGGAATTCGACTTGTTTAATGGTAGTCACTGCAAAGAAACTAGAATGTGACACATAAGTTAGGCTGGGTTCACACCTGGGCGTATGGAATATGCTCGTTTGCAGCACGTTTTTACAGCGATTTGCGGTAAAAGAAACGCGCGACAAACGTTTCCATTAGGATACAGCCGGCAAATATGCCCCAAAGAAGCTCCTGTACTTCTTTGGGCGTAGGGCGTTTTTCAGCGCGTTCCTGCGCGCTGTAAAACGCCCAGGTGGGAACCATGCCCATAGGCAATTTATTAGTTTTCACGTGTTGAGCGTTTTACAGCGCGTAGGAACACTCTGTAAAACGCCCAGGTGTGAACCAGGCCTTAGTGGTGCTTTCAGCAGAACTTTTACACACTGGTGTTTTGCTCTTTGATGTAAAATCCCACATTTATCTCAAATAGCCAAAATGGATAACATCAGACTGTTGTGTTAAACCATCTAGCCCACTGCATTTGATTTAATTTTTTTTAAATATTATATTTTTTAGGGAAAATCTCGATGTGCCACAATTTACCTGGTATTTTATCTGTTTCTGTATATATTTCCACAGACTGAAACATTTCTCGTGTTCGACCACAGGCACCCCAATGAACAGAGACGTTTCAAGACATTGGTGGGCTGAATAGGTAAAGTCGCCTTCTTGTTCGTTTTGCTGATGCTTTTATGAAAACTTTCAATAATTGGAAGCCCTTTTTACTTGTGTTCTTTACTAATTTTACCTGTACCTTTTGATGTTGGCTGTTTTATGATATAAAATGGTGTAAAGAAAATTGTGTCTAGCTGTTCTTTTCTGCTGTAGCCCAAATAATGAATGCTGACATTTGGCTGGTTGCTTTTGAGCCATTTCGGCCACACAAATCATGCTAGTAATATTATAATTCAATTGAATGTTCTGTGCCTCCGTGATGTGAAATCTTACAAGAGATGATTTTCTTTGCTCCAGTTTTCCTAAATCTGCATAATTATAAATGTTTTTAGGAAAAAAATCACTAGATTGTATTTTTGCTACTGCTTCAGGTCATTTGGATCCAAATTTTGAGGTGCCCACATTGGAGATGAGGACTTCAGAAGAGCAAGCAGCCACGACAGTGTTGCAGAGACTGCTGCAGGAGCAGCTACGTTACGGCAATCCTAATGACAACCGTAACCTGCTGGCATTGCATCAACAAGCCACAGGGAACATTTCCCCCTACACTGGTGGACAATTGCCTCAGAACGAAGGACTGACTTCTCAGGACTCCCACTTGGTTCCACATGCTGCCCGGCAGGAGCCGCAGGGGCAGGAGATCCAGGTGGAGAATATGATGGAGAAACAGATACCACTAAGAGCTCAAAACAGCGAAGACCTCCCTACTTATGAGGAGGCCAAAGTACAGTCTCAATACTTCAGAGGACAACCTCACGCCAGTGTTGGAGCAGCTTTCTATGTAACTGGGGTGACCAATCAGAAAATGAGGACTGAGGGTCGTTCTACTGTTCAGAGGGTTAACACAGGAAAAGTTCACCAGGATGATGGTCTAAAGGACTTAAAGCATGGGCATGTGAGATCTCTGAGCGAGAGACTTATGCAGCTGTCGCTGGCTACAAGCGGGGTGAAGGCCCATGCTCCTGTTACCAGTGCTCCTCTCTCGCCACAACCAGGGGATTTCTATAAAAATTCTGGGTCCAATGAACTGTACAAAAACTCTTCTCAAAATGGGGGGCAAAAAGTGAGTGAGCATAGGGGCCCTCCTCCTGACTACCCATTCAAAAACATTTCCACTCTCCCTTCACGTGGGAAAGCCAAGGAAATAGGTCTCCATTATGGGGACCCCAGAGCCAATCCACAGAACCGCTCAGATGGACCAATGGTTCGTTATCAGCCTCCTCCAGAGTATGGACTATCCAGGTAGGTTATTTATTTTAGTTTTTAAAGAAAACAAAAAATGTGTATGTTTTTAATGATTACATTTTATATTGTACTTGATCAGTCCCTACAGCTCTACCAGCCTTTGCCATCTAAACACAGGAAGCAGCTGTGCATAAAAATGGAAAGAGTAACAGGGTTATTTACAAAAGGGTGAAGAGTTTGCAGAAGGCAGGAGAAGTGAACAATCTAGGCCAAAATAGCTGATTTGAAAAACAGTTCGGCTATGTTGTCCTAGATTGTAAACCTATCCTGCCTTCTCTAAACTTTTAACTCTTTTATGAATAACCCTGTGAGGTTATTTTCTGGTTTTGTTGGGGTACAATCTATGTATTTGGCCAGGTGGGGCTGAATTAATCTCAGGACAAAGATATAAACATTTACAGTTGATAAGTTACTTTTGCAACCTTTTTGTATTGTTAATACAGGCAATGGCTTTTTAAAACATACTCACTCTGCTGCTTAAAGCTGGCATGGGACAACGTAGCGGTCTCATGCTGGCTCTATACCGAGAGCTGAGCGATCATGTACCCACAGATCACTCAGTTATCGGTCGGTTTTCCGGCAGAGAGCAGCGACTGTCAATGTCTGCCCCTGCAGGGATTCCCCCCTTTCCTCTCTGTTCCTCCAGCACTCACTGGAAAGAGGAGGGGCAGGCAGCTCAGAGGATCTGGAGTAAGATTTGATCATATCACTATTGTGTTCACTGTTCTCCTTGCTGGAGGATGCGAGATGATAAAGCAAAACCTTGCCTCTACCAAGATGGTTGCCTCCACAAAGAGACACAGTGCAGAAACAGTCATAATAAGCCAGTTAAGGGGAAAGATCAGCTGCCAGGAGACCAGAGGCAATGCTGGTGACTAGTGCTTGACCCTCTGCCTGCTTTTTTGGGGCACAGCTTCTAGAGTTTATTTCCTCTGTGTTCTTCAACAGATAGTGTTAAGTAGGATTTACATGGTGCAAATTTCATCCTGCTTTTCATGAACCGTGCAAAAATCGCACAATGGGTGTCGCTGTTAGCACCTTTCCAACTGGCATCCCTCGATAAGCTCATCGAAGTAGCAGGTTAAAAAATTGTTGGCTGAACGGAGCTTGCAGAAAATCAGCCGCTAACGCCATTCGGGTACTCTGACAGCGGCAGGCGGTCGCTGTCAGAGTGCAATGGAAACAGCGGGGGGATTCCTCAATCAATGCTTGTAAGTGGTGATAGAGGAACCTGTTCTGTTTTTTTTTGCCTGCAGGTTGAACAAAGAAAATAGAAGCGTGTATGCCCAGCTTAATTGTAGAAAGTACTTCTTGGCATACAGGTCAGGTACAGAGTGAAGAGGCTGGTGATAATTTGGTTTCTGCGTATATTTTATTGTGCTTATTTATGCCAGTTTGAAGTGGAATGAGTGAGCTTGCTCTACTGTGAGTACATTGTACTTTTCTCCTTGTATGTGTCAGTGCACTGCAAATGTTACCATAGATAATTTTTTATTATGTTTTTTTCTGGGGAAGTCATGATAAAAAAGTCCCTCTTCTATGGCTTACTCATCCGACACCTGCGTGCAGTAAGAGATGCTTCTCATTCCTGTGTAGGTAGTGTATACTGTATTCCACCACTGTGTTAATTGCTGTTTATAACATGTAGGAAGTCTTGCTTACCAGACGAATGAGGCACCTGTTGTGGTGGGGGTTAATCTTCAACAATGAAGGAAATATTTTACTTGGGCTGACACAGTTTATTATGTGAAGGCACCTGACAGGTTTTGAGGAGTAGAATGTTTACACCACAAAGCATCAGGGAAGGATCTTATGACACACATTTTAAATATTTAGTCTGTGATCATAAATGCTGAAGAGGAGAGAGTGTCTGTCTGGTGACACAGCACTGTGTGATACTATTTATCCCACCCTATGGATTTTCCCATTGTTGCACGCTGCAGTCATTTTCTTTTGCCTGAAATTGTTTCTAATGTCAAATATGTATCACTGAGCCTTTCCTCGTATGTGTTTGTGAGGAAATTAGTGTTTTAGATTTTGTTTCAGAATGTTATAATTTGCTACTCATGGACTCTGTACATTTCAACAAAATGCAAAAGCTGTCCATTAAGCCAGGTAGCTCATGCTCCTTGCCTCTCCCCCTCACCCCACCCCCCACTTACCTGTCAGCTCTGCTTGTCACTGCCGCTAGTCCCCCAAGTGATCTTCCATCCCGAATTTCCTGGTTGCGGTGGAGGAGATTGAGTGCAGAGGAGCCATAGGCTATGGACACACACAGCCGGGGCCGGGAACTTCCACGCACGGGTGTCTCCACAGCAGTTGCTTTGCTGATGGAGGCACCTGTGCAGGGGGTGGGAGAGAGAGCAATGCGGGGACCCACTAGAACTGAGGACATCACGAAGAACTGAAGAATTACAAAAAAAATTACATAAATGCAGTCTCCCATTTATTTATTTAGTTATGTATTTATGAATGTATGTGTGTATATATGTATGTATGTATATATTGTGTGTATGTGTGTGTTCAATGTGTATGTATGTATGTATGTATGTGTGTGTATGTGTATATATATATATATATATATTACAGTTGTGCTCATAAGTTTACATACCCTGGCAGAATTTATGATTTCCTGGCCATTTTTCAGAGAATATGAATGATAAGACGATAACCTTTCTGTCACTCATGGGTAGTGTTTGGCTGAAGCCATTTATTATCAATCAACTGTGTTTACTTAATATATAATGTGTACATATAAATTATATAAAGGTTTATTATCATTTTAAATAGTTGTATTTTTAGATTTCCTCATAAAGTGTGGGTGTGCGTTATTCTGGGTTTCCCACCAGATCGGCTGCATTTTTGGACAATGGCTGGTGTACTTCCACAGGGATTTTATTGGGATCCCAAAATCTGCTAAAAATTAGCGCTTGTAGTTAAGCATCCTGCAGATTGTTTTGTAAGTTGAGATAAATCTATATAGTTTTCAGTCTACTCCTAGTGTCTAAATCCATTGCAGAATATTATTTTATCATTCTTAGGAGCTTTAATAACATCTGCCAGATGTAAAGAGAGATTAGTGCATTCGCTCAGGTTTTGCTCTTCCTTTCTTGCTGCCATTGTTCTGCATTCAGAAGTAGAATGTTGGCGGGTTTGGCGCCATCTGTTTGAATCTGTGGCTCTATAGCAGAGGGCGGGAGACTAGAACACAGAGCAAGTGTATTCAGTAACCAGGGAAGCCAACCAGAAATCCATTCTCGGCGGCTTAGTTTGGGTAGATGAGCTGATTTCTAGCTGGATCTTTAGTGTCACTGTGGAGCATGAACCCTTGAACAGTGCTGATTGCATGACAAGTTTATGTATTTTTTTTTTTATTGAACGGTCCTAGGACTTCAGGGACGTATTGCATTATTTAATAGACATACAATATTTTGAGAAATGTGTGATTTCAGTAGTGTGTTTTTGTGTGTGGCTTTGGTTTTATTTATTTATTTTAAATGTGCGCTGAGTAGAAATGTGTGTGTTGATAATCGGCTACTAACCCAAGTGTAAATTTGTTAATATGCTAGATGCAAGATTTCACAGCTAACACATGGCTTGCAAATGCATAACGACCGCTGTTCTTTAAAGCGTATTAATAACCTGTAGTCACTAATGATAGGAAAGGACCTCTTGCATTTAGCAGATTTTCCTAATTGTGTGGATTGTTTGCATAACGGTAAATCTCTTTATACACATTCCAGTATTTTCTGAATACAGTATTTATAAATATGAGCATTATGTGTAACTCAATTTCTCCACACATTAAATGAATGTTTTTTTTTTCTTCTTTTTGTTCGATCATCTGTTTTATGTGATTTATATGTATATAATAGTATGATTCTAATTTTACATATTACAATTGAATGTTCCCATGCTGGTCTGCTCATGCTCAAGCTTTTTATTATGCATAACGACCGCTGTTCTTTATGCATATAATAGTATGATTATAATTTTACATATTACAATTGAATGTTCCCATGCTGGTCTAGTCATGCTCAAGCTTTTTATTATCTCGTTGTAAAAATACAATACATTTAGGTGTAATCTACTACCTCTCTGGTAGTAGATTATTCTAAGCTCACACCAAATTGTTTAAGTAAGGACACTTTGCACCACATTTTAGTCCCTTCTTAGAATGGCTCAGACATTCTCTTTTGACCATTTTATATTGGACCTGTAGTCTTTACACTAGGGATGCACCGATATATCGGCCGTCGAAACATATCGGGCAAAAATGGCACTTTTGGCATAATCCCGAAAGTGCCATTTTCCTGCCAATACATCAGCACATCACTGCTTTCTCTCCTCCACGCTGGGCGCTGCTCTGTGTCCCAGCGGGGAGGAGAGAAACTGTGACAGCCGGCCGAGCGGGAGGAGAGCTCTGTGAGCGGCTGGCATCTCTCCTCCTATCACAGTCCAGCAGAGCGGTGTGTGGGCGGAGACAGGCCGTGCTGTCACAGGAGGCTGAGCTCTCCTCCCTGCACCACTCGCTCAGCCTCCTGTGACAGCGTGTCAGAAAGGAGAGCGAGAGCAAACACTCCGCGATCAGTGATTGCTGAGTGTGTGTACATAATTGAGGACATGGTATGTGTACTATATCCTCAATTATGAATGAATGGGAAGTGATCTACATCACCTTCTGTTCATTCATAGTTGTAGTTATAGTAAACATACCATGTCCTCATGTTATCAATGAACAGGAACACTCATAGAGGATTCCTGTTCATTGATAACAGGGGACACAGAAAAAGAGATGAGGACTTTGTGTTCTCAATCTCTTTTTCTATTTTAAAAGGGAAATATCAGGGGTCTATTTACACCCCTAAAATTTCCCCAAAGCCCCTAAAAGTAAAGTAAAAAAATATATATTGAAAAATAAATTAATGACTAAATAAATATACATTTTTTTAAAAGTTTATAAAAAATAAATAAAAATAAAATATTGAAAAAATTTG